AAATAATTTAAAAAGACAAATTACAATAAAACGGTTTATTATCCAACTATCAGAAATTTCACAACATGCCAAGGAAGAGAGGAAGGAGCAATTAAATAATTAGAATTGTAAAGGATTAAAAAATATATATAAAAATGGGGAATATCGCACTTCTGACAATCGCTCCAAGTGTGTGGGCTAAATTTGGAGAATCCGTGCTTCTCGCATGGACAACTGTATGTGGCCAGCTCATGCGTCGGAAAACCTTCTGATTTATTCGTGTACACACCAGACATAAAAAATATCGTGTATCCACAAGCACTCCAATAAATAAATAGAATTGAAACAACACTTTGAAATGTTTTCCCGATGAAAATGAATAATAATATAATGATAATAAGTTTCAATAAAAATGATAAAATGTAAATTGAATTTTATTATAACAAGTTTGCTTGAATTTCCTTTCTTCTGAGATCACAGCAATGTGCGACGGGTAAGCTAGTTTATAATAAAATAATTATCATTAAACATTAAAATTGCAAAATTAAAAATTGAAAATTTCTTAGTTTTGCTGTCTTCTGTAGTAGTGCAGTTTTAATAGGGTCTTTATGTTGCAATAAAATGAGTTGTATAGAGTAGTAATATCACCATGTAGAAAAAAGTGTGTCAATATTTTGAGAAAATAGAGTTGTACTGAATTTGACTAACATTTTTCACAAGTAATTAGTCAAAGAAGTTTTCCTGGTAATGGGTGCTCTGTTATAACTACTTTTAATTCCATGTTAAACCTAAACAAATACCTTTAAACAATAAAATACTCAAACATCAAAACTTATGCTATTCCACTTGTGGAATAGCAATAAATAGAAAAAAACAATTTTAAATGGTAGAACCTAGCTTTATATAATTATTTATATAAAGCTAGGTTCTACCACCTATAGGGCCTTTCAAGTGCCAATATAAGTTTGAATAGTTTATGCCTAATATTTTTTAAAATGTAACTAATATTTGGTGAAAATTGAAATTTTATTTTACATTGAATAGGATATATGACAAGCGATTTATTGAAAATGATAATGGTACAGTCAAAAAGTTTTGTCCTCATCATTTGGTATGTATCATGATTTTTTTATTTATAATATATTGTATATTTTTTTGAGAAAAGAGAATACAAATATTTTGTGTGTAAATATTTAAAAAATAATAATAATTAAATAACATTGTTTTTTTATTAATTATTATTTATTAACTTATTAATATTTCTAACTGAAATATGAAATTTTTTTCTTAATGGAATTATAGTTTTTTTATGAATAAGAAATCAACAATTACATATGTAAAATATAAGCATATTGCTGCTGTTGCATGTTATTTATTTATTTCTGAATTGGTTATAAAAAAATTTTGTTTTCTGTATCTTTAAATAGCTAATATACTATATTTCCTTGATTAAATCCTGCTCTTTGAATAAACCTGGGAAGTAAAGGTGCTGTTAAAAATAAATCTGAGTTGAAAAACGTGAGAAATATGTTACCTACTGCACTAAATAGGGTAATGTAGTTTAGAGTAATAGGTAAATAGTTTAACTGAAATTCTCTCTCTTCAGATTGTCTAGTACTGGATAGTACTTTCTATTTGGAATAGAAAGGTCCAAGGTTCACATAAACATTTTTTGAAATAAAAATATAAATATTGTCAAATATTGAGCATGGGAAAGTTGCAATTGAGTTCATAAGTTGAGAACTTATCAGTTGAAGAGTAATTAGGAAGACTCTCATCTCTTTCCAAAAGAAATGATTAGTTTGAGCCAGATGATAGTTAAAATCTTGATACTTACAACATTGAAGTAGATACAAATGACAATGTAATAACCAAATTGGAAGATGCTGAATTGGGTTAACTATGAAAATGATAGTTATTGTAACCTATAAATACAACCAATAAATGGTTTTGATAGTTTGGAAATGTACAAGTTAGTTAAGATATTTTTTCAATTTTTATCCACTCATCTCCTGTTCCAAGGTAATAAACCGTGGATCTCTAAATAAATTCCAGAGGGATATGTACATTTTAAAAATAAATTCCCTGGAGTTTAATCAAGGAAATATGGTGTATATATTTCTTCTTTTTTCTTTTTCTATTGGTGCCCTGTCCATTCTGGGTGTTGGATGTCATCACAGCTAACATATTCCTTTTGCTGGCTCTTTTGAACAGTTCTTCCAAAGGCATTTCATACCAGTCCCTCAAGTTTTTCAACCATGAGATTCAATGTTGTCCTGGCCTTCTTTTTCCAGAGATTTTTCCTTGTATAATGAGTTGTAGGATTTGGTACTTGATATCATTTCTCATCATGTGACCAAAGTATTCCAGCTTTCTTTGTTTGATAGTGTTGAATGGTTCTTGCTGTTTATCCATTCGTTGCAATATTTCTACATTGGTCATATGTTCTATCCAGGATACTCTTAGAAGTCTTTGGTAAATCCACATTTTGAAGGCTTTGATCTTATTTTCAGATGTTTTGGATATGATCCAAGATTCAACTCTGTACAATAGCACCAGGAACACATAGCATCTGATTATTCTAGTTTTCATATCAAGGGTTAGATCTCTAGGACATAGCAATTTTCTCATTTTCGTGAAAACAGTTCTTGCTGTATATACTGTAATTGCAATTAATATTGCTTTTTTTCTGAGTGGTTACAAGTTTGGCTTGCATATTATTAGTTGAAGAAAATCGGGCATCAGAAATTATTAACAAACTATTTCTATTAAGGTATGTCAAAAATGTTTTATTTATCCCTAATACAGGTATGTACTATTGTATTAATACAATATCATATCTCCAATCAAACCTATTACTGTTTACTATATATGAATCTATATATATCAAAATCTGTCTGTCTCAAATTTTTTTCTCGTTCCCGTGAGATTCAAGATAGATCGGCTCAAGATAGATTCAAATAGACAAGTATCCTTTGCTTAACATGATTTTGTTTAATGCACAAAATTGATTGTGGCAATCCCTTTATATATGTGGCAGAAGTTTTAATCAATGTGGCTTTAACAGATGTCTTTACTCAACATAGATGTTTTTCTCAGCAAATAAGATGTTGGTGAATTTTCTATTTTCATCCAGAGTGATATTTGATGTAGACGTGTAGTTTAATTATGATAGTTGTGAAATTTAACACATTTCTGCTAATGTGAGATCCTATTCTTTGTTCTTTACAGTCCCCAAGTAGTAAAGATGGAAAATGCAAGAATGTCTGAGGCATCACCAGTTCTAATTTTAAACTTGTGTTGTTTAATTGGGCTATTTTTTCATTGTTTTTAAAGGAAGTTTGTAATTTTGACGGCCAAGTAGCCTACAAGAAAAGGTCGGTCATCAAAAGTGTATTCCAAAACATTGAAATAGAATAAATGGCAATGCCTATTTCAACAGACTATCTTCAAAAAATTAATTTTTAATATTTTAAAATTTAATTACCATTTGGCATCATTCTACAATAAAAACATTTGTTATTAACCGAAAATTTGTTCTAGTAGGTTGTGATTGTTTGGTCAAGTACCAAGGTACCATTGTATTTGATTAAACGGTGGCATAGAGGAACTAATTAATTGCATTAATCAAGGGATAACTGTATATATTATTATTATGATGGGTTTAGTGGGATTTACTCGGTTCACACCAGTGGCTGTGTACTATGCCGGACCAGAGTCAAGGCATAGCAACCAAAACAAAACTAAAATTAAATAAGTGTGTCAGTGTCTGCATTCAGGAATTTCCTAACAATGTGGCATGTATTCAATATAGTGGCCTTCTGCAGTGTTATGTATGTATTTCTACTCAATTCTAAAGTTTCCAGGCTTTTGTGTAGTGTGTGTGGTATCACACCTGTACAGGAGAGAACAACAGGTACAATAAGCACCCTATCCATCCTCCACAGATGCCTTATTTCCTGGGCGAGTTCTGTGTACTTGCTAATTTTTTCAGTGCATGTGTTTTGTACATTGTGAGTGTTTGGAATGGCTATGTCTATAATGTATGTGATTTTATTGTGTTTGTCAATGAGTGTGATGTCTGGTCTGTTGTGGTAAATTGTTTTATCTGTGATTATGGCTCTGTCGTA